CCCAAGATACGAATGATGAATGCGCACATGTATCTCATACGACCAACATTGGTGCCAGCGTGCACCCCATAATCCAAAAAAGGCTCCCAGATAAAGTGAAGGCTCAACATGTTTTTATGGAAATCCCAATCACGCTCCAACTCAACTCCTAACAAATCAGAAATCATCTAGCAAAATGGATGGCCTCCAGCGCTCCCGAAGATAACCTCACCATCTGTGGCAGACCCAACAAATGGTGTACATCCTCGAGGGAGATGGTAACCTCACCCATAGGCATGTGAATTGTACTTGCCTCCGGGCGCCATCGCTCCATAAGCGCAAACACAAGTGCATGATCAATTTGAAATCAAAACGGTATGATATGACCAAAATATTACAATCACAACACTATAATAACAAACACAACACTCTAATACTAGGTTATATAAGAACACTATACTAACCTCATGGTTGCGCAGGCGCGCAACGTGATAGAACCCAGCGTGCATCAGAAACGACTAGATGTCCTGTTGTATATCCTTATGAACGTGTGTGGTAGTGTATCTAACATTTAGCAAACGATCCTGGACATCAGGGTCCTCTAACGTATTCCAGACTTACGTCAATATATGTTTCTCTTATAATGTCAGGAGAGAACAGTCGGAGGGTCCTGAGTCTATCACACTCCGCTAGGGATGTTTATCAATCGATCCAAACCGATTCAAACCACGGTGACCGAACCGAAAAACCGATAACCGAATAAACCAAAAATCAAAAAATTGAGAACAAAAAAAAATCGTAATTTTAATTGGATTGGATCGGTTTTCGGATGGGTTGATGAAAATCGATCCAATATATTAATTCCTCTTTACCTGCTTGGGTCTTTCCCCAATCATAGCCTAAAAATTTCTAAACCCAAGACCCATTAACCTATCAACTAAACTAAAAAAAAACCTAGTCACATCTCATCAACAAAATTTCATTTGTGTAGAGCTTCATATCTTATTGCAAAAAAAAAAACTATATTATCGTTTAGCTTTTGTATTTCAAGAAAAAAAATTTACACAGCCTATTATACAAAAGATGTTATTTGCACAATAACCATGAAATAAATTTTAGGATTTTCAAAAAAATGAATGGATGATTACATCATCAAACCAAAAGGATTGAATTGGATGATTTTTGCTTCCAAAATCGATCTAATCCATACCACGAACACCCCTACACTCCAAGGAGAATCAGAACGTCCTTGTTAACATGCTCCATTGATCTATTTAGAACAATAATTATATTATATTAATAATATTATATCAAAAATATTCAAATAAAAATTAATAAACATAATTTAAAAGTTTTAATTTTAAAATAAAATAATTCACCAACTATCATACATATTAATGTCTATATAAATTAATATAACAATATTTACTCATGGAGTCTATCCTAGGGGGGGGAAAACAAAAAATAACATGTCCTCTAACCTAAGGTGTCAAGACCTAAAATCATAATTATTAAAATAAAAAAATTAAACATAATTCAAAATTTCAATTTTAACATAAAAATTAATTCATGCACTAATATAATAACATTAATATAATAAAAATTCCACATGGGCTCTATCCTATATTTTTTTTAAAAATCTTCTAACCTAAGGAGTTAAGTCCTAAAATAAAATATATAAAACATAATAAAAAGGCATTTATAAATTTAATTAAAAATATAAAATATTACATCAACTATCCTATATATTAATGTCTACACAGTAGAATATAACAACATGAATATACATGGGTTCTATCTTATGGTTTGAAAAAAATAACATGTCTTCTAACCTAAGGTTTCTTCCGTATAAATAAATAATATAAAAAAGTTAATATCTAGTAATGCATAAATCATAAATTATAAAATACTAACCTTGATGTTGGAGAGAAAAACTATGAAATTATAAAGTAGAGAGAGTTTTGAAATTAAGATTTTTTTATAAAATTATGTTTGGCTAAACTTATGCTTTTAAAGAGAAAAGAAACTAAAAAGAAGACAGGCAGGAAAGATGGTAGGAATTTTCGCCCCAACTAATGAGAATTGCTAAGTACTAAAAAATAGTTATTATTATTATTGGAAGTGCTAAGGATTAAATATAAAAGAGTGCTAAGTATTGATAAACTATTATTATAAGAAAATGTTAAATATTGATTACAAGCATTAATTTTTTGTTTTTTTTCCCTTAATGGACCCGCATCTATAAAATAGGACACTTATTTTCATATTTAGCAAAGTTAATTAGGGAGATGGATCAAGCTACAGTTAAAAGACATTCTCTAATTGGTAAGGAAATTCGAAACATCGACACTGAGAAAGCCCAACTACAAGAGACCTTGGCTAAACTGGATGAGTTTGAGGAGAACCTGTCTCCCATCAAGCAACATATCTTGGATCACATTCGCATAATCGAACATAGGAAGAAGGTTCTCCTAGAAGAACACCAAGAGGTCTTAAACAACCATGCGGAGGAATCCACAAAAGAAGAGGCATCAACTTAATATGTTATCTGTTAACTTTTTATTGTAATGTTGTATTTAGTTATTTGGCGGATTTGCCTATAAGTTTCCATATTGTACTTTCTATGTAATGCCAATTAATTGAAAAATAAAAAGTTTCTAAATACAATTTTCCAATTTTTTTCTTGCGGTTTATTTATGTTATAATGCTATATGTTAGAGTTATAACACAATGAATGAAGTGTATGAATTACCATGAAAATAAGTGTCAAGACAAGAATAATAAATATTACATTTTTTATCTTTGCATGTGACAATCATTTTAATTTATAGTTTATATTTTATAGTAATCTTATATCAATCAAAGAATTATAATGGTAACAGATTATGAGAATGACGTTAAAAATGATTATATACATAATAATTAAATTAAATTAAATTAAAAACAAAACTATTTATACAAATTTTAGAAAAAGTATTTTAACATAATTAAAATAATTATTATTATAATTGTTACCGCAAATACATTCTACAAAAATATTCATAAATTAATTAGGTAGCATGATTTGCATCCAATGATTTAATTTTTTTCAAAATCAACATTTCTTTGACTAAAAAGCTATACATAAATGGTAATAGTAGCTGGAAATGACATTAAAAATGATTGTACATATAATAATTATATATATATATGAAAAAATATTTTCTCATGTTAAGTCCCTTCGATTTGCGTGCAAAGCTTTTTTTTTAATAAATGTGGGGCCCACTATTAGTGGAGTCACAAGATGAAAATTGAATTCCCATGCAACATGAAAAAATCAAACCCATATATATATATGGGTTTAGTGAGTGTACAGTGACTGGATACAAAATTTGGTCCAGTGCACTAAGTTCTCCCGCGAGAACACAGTTATAGTAAATATTATAACTATGTTCTCCTGGGAGAACATCATTATAATATTTATTGCACTAAGTTCTGGCAGGGAACTTAGTGCACTGGACGGTCGAGTGACTGAATTTTCATTTTTTCATATATATATACATAGAGGTAGGATCCTTTGACATCAGTGTCAAGTTTCAAATTTGACACCTCATCTGAGAGCCATTAGATCAAAAAAGATCAATGGTGTCACATGCTTTCAAATCAGAGTCGTTGATCTTTTTGGATCTAATGACTATCAGATGAGGTGTCAAATTAGTGTCAAAGGATCTTACCTCATATATTTTGGATTGGCCCCTCCCGATCGTATTTCGTATATGAGGTAAGATCCTTTGACACTGGTGTCAAATTTTAAATTTGACACCTTATCTGATAGTCATTAGATCAAAAAAGATCAACGACTCTGATTTGAAAGCATGTGACACAATTGATCTTTTTTGATCTAATGGCTCTCAGATGAGGTGTCAAATTTGAAACTTGACACTGATGTCAAATGATTCTACCTCTCTCTCTCTCTCTCTCTCTCTCTCTCTCTATATATATATATATATATATATATATATATATATATATATATATATATATATATATATACACACACGTTAGATGTAAGGATAAAAAATATATTTTAACATAATTAAGACTGATGCTATTTACTTTTAAAGAGTAATCATAATTGTTAATTAGCCAATTATATGCATTACAAAACTAATCATAGATTAGCTAGCATGATTTGCATCCAATCATTTATTTTCTAAAAAAGATCAACTTGTTGACGAAGAGCTGTACCACTATGTGTCACGTTCTTTCATACTTAGCATCCTTTTCTCTCCTTTTGTCAAACTTGATGTCTATCCCCATTTCCAGATCCCAGTTATCTCGTTACTGAAATATAAAAATGGATTTTAATATTTATTTATTTTACAAATTGAATTAAAATATTGAAATCAATCAATGAGCTTGACTAAAACTCCTGTTTTCTTTTCAGTTTTCACACATACATGCAATCATTAATTTTTCTGTCCGTATTTTGCTCCTCATAAAAATACTCTTCAATGTGCTTTCTAGGAAGGTAAAACCAAGTTATCTTGAATTTTCTTTTATAAACCATCTTATATCCGGTTGTCAATGCGGATTAATATAAATTTGAGCTGGATAGGATTAATTATAAGGGTGATAAAGCTCTCTTATTAAGTTTTAACATAATCGCTGCAACACTCCATTATCGGACCGGTGTATTATCATCAAATATGATATTAAGCGCCGTTACAGTCACATATAGATGTTAATTAACCGACTGGAGACGGGGCATTACAATCGCGTACATAAAATTCAAATTTAAGGCTACTGATTAACTGGACAACGACTTGATCCACTTGCTTCTGGTAACCTTTGAAATTCAAGAGTGTTGACTTAGGGGAAGGTTAGAATATCTTTATTTGATTGGTTCTGGCAGAGCTAAACAATGCTATAAAAGGAACTTCACATAGTGTTTAAACTCACAGGAAGAGTTAAATTTCCCATATCCCATTTCCATTAACAAAAGAGTCTCAAACTCAAAAGCTAGCTACCAAATAATAGAGATGGCAAGGTCAAGCTCCTCCACCAGTACCCCTCAACAAAAGCACGAGGTGTTCCTCAGCTTCAGGGGAGAGGACACACGCTACACTTTCACAGGCCATCTTTATACGACCTTAACAAGGCTCGAAGTCAACACATACATAGACTACAATCTTGAGAGAGGGGAAGAGATATCATCAGCACTTCTTAGGGCCATTGAGGAGGCAAAGCTCTCAGTCATTGTTTTCTCCAAGAATTATGCAAATTCCAAGTGGTGTTTGGATGAGCTTGTCAAGATACTTGAATGTAAGAGGATCAAGGGTCAAATTGTCTTGCCCATTTTCTATGACATAGATCCCTCCCACGTTCGCAACCAAACAGGAACTTATGCAGAGGCATTCGTTAAACATGAGAAACAACTTCAGGGTAAAATGGACAAGGTGCAAAAGTGGAGGGAGGCTTTGAGAGAAGCTGCTAATTACTCTGGTTGGGATTGCTCTGTCAACAGGTAATTTTCTCTACTTTTTTCATAATTTTTTACGGTAAGATTATATTTACAAATTTTTTTTTTACAAATTCTTACCTATTACACCATATCTGACCGGTCATATTTAATGTAAGAGTAAACACTATTTTTGGTCCCTGACAATATCTACGAAATCTTTTTTAGTCCTGACAATAAAAAAGGACCAAATTGGTCCCTAAAATTATGAAAAAATTACCACATTAGTCCTTATGTCAACTCATCAATCACTAATGTATCCCTTTTTACATACTGTTAGGGACCAATTTGGTCCTTTTTTTATTGTCAAGGACTAAAAAGGATTTCGTAGATATTGGCAGGGACCAAAAAGGGTGTTTACTCTTAATGTAATTTGTAAAAAAAGTTTGTAAACGAATCTTTTCCCATCTTTTATTTCTCAATTAATTGATGATGTTATTTTTTGCCCCATGTTGTATTTTTTTTTCTTGGGATTAATATTAGAGAATGTATAGAGATTTGTAGTAATTTCTTAATTAGTGGGTATACCTTTTACCATGATGATTACATTACATACATGCAGGATGGAATCTGAAGTTATCGAGAAAATTGCGAAGGATGTGTTAGAAAAATTAAATCGAGTATATGTAGGCGACCTAGATCAGCAGATTACAAAGTATGAGCAACTTGCGCAGCTTCAACATCAGTATTTTCAAAGCATACCTTCGGTTGAAAATTGGAAAAATCATCAAGCAACTGTTCAACGGATCACTGAACTTAAAATGGAGAGAAGTATCCGAATGCTTCGCTTGTCACCTGACATGCTTTCGCATTTGGGGAATTCAAACAATAATAATAATTTTCCATTTTAATGTACAAGTGTTTTTTTTTATCAATTGTTGTTATTATCAAGTTTCAGCAAGATGAGATTTCTAAATTTCAAAATTATTGTTATTAGTCAATGACTCAATGCATATATATGATCAAAGGCTTCCTACTATTATGAAATATTTAAATATGAAATATTTAAATATGAACTAATAAAACTTTTGTTGATTTTTATTTGCCTTTCTTCGTCAAATCTCTCAAAATTGTTGGTCGACTATTAGATAGAATAGGACGCAGATTGTCCGCCATTGGAAAACTAAATTCACAACATCCCGTTGTAATCCTACGGTTGTAAGTTTTTAAGTTATATTTACAAATTTTTTTAAGAAAAAGTTATATATACAAATTTTTTGTTTACAAACAACACTAAATATGACTGGTCATACTTCAATTAAGAGTGTATGACAAGTCATACTTAATATAATTTGTAAAAAAAAAAATTATAAACGGATCATTTCCTAATTTTTTACGGCGAAGGTAATCTGTAGTTGATTTTCAACTGTGTACGATCGGGGCTCAATATCAAAATGTGATTTTTGCATTGCACAATATAATTTAATTTTTTTTATCCGTATTGGTTGTCCTTCATCAATACGATTCGATGCCTCTCCGATGCTTTCTATCTCACTTTTTTAGGAGACAGTAAATGAACTCTGAAATATACAATAAATATAATAAAAATTAATTAAAAATATCAAATATTTCGTCTTGTAAGTCATAACATAGTTGATATGGATAAAATTAATTTTAGATTCAACCACGAAAAGAGACGCTACATAATGCAACAATCTTGTTTATACTTCAACAAAAACTATGATCTAACAAATAACACTTATCCATGTTCACTCAAACGTTTACTGAAAAATCTGTCTTCGCTCAAAGATGTACACTTAATCCTTGATATGTAGGTGTTTGCACCTCTAATGTGAAAAAATAAAAAATAAAGATATCACATGGAATTGTTTTTAATTAAATCTTTATTGATTATAATTTTTACAATTAAGCTCCTAAAATATATAATAACAATAAAAAGTACTAACGCACAAATAAATGTAAACATTAATCAATAAAATATAGGAGAAGGATATACTTACCACCAATTAAGTTTATCACTTCTTATTACTAAATCTTAACCGTTGATTTTCATCAATCTGATGGTTATAATTTATTGGATAATAATTGACAATAAATTATAGCAGTTAGATTGATACAAATCAACGATTAAGATTTAATGATAAAAAATAATAAACTTAATCGTGTTAAGTATAACCTTCCTCTAAAATCTAATGGTCATCCGTTATATGAACTTATTACGTTATAGAAACCTATTTGAAAATTTAATAAAATTGTAAAAACTTACAACGTTAAGTTTCAAATCATGCCAAAGATAATTTTGTGTGTGTGGAGATATTCCATTCAGTTCATTGTTTCACGACTAATCTGATTCGGAATGAGTTCTAGAATTAAAGCTTTAAATTTCTCTCAAAACGTCAAAGATAATTATTAAGAAAGTTTTTAACCGTAACAGTATTTAAAAAGATTAGTTTCATTGTGATCATAATAATACTTATGGAGATACTTAATTGAAGAATGAAAACATTGAAACTTATTCTAGTTTAACTTTTTCCTTTTTGTCTACGTGAAATCATCCGTTCAATTATGCGAAGACTTTTTTTTTTTTTTTTGGTAGACATGCGAAGACTAATTAAATAGAAAAGTGGAATTGACTTTCTCTAATTATGTGTCAAGTTGCATAAAAACATTGGATTCGCCGAGTTTTGTGTGAAACGCTTATTATTCTTTTCACACACAAAATCTTGACTTTATGTGCCCAGCTAATTCAAAAAAAAAAAGGGTTGACCGTTAAAACGAAATATTTAATTTTAAGGGAAATAAAATATTCATATTATTAAGAGTAATAACATGCATATAGAAAGAGGAATCATTATATTTATTTTATATAGACAATTAAAATACCTTCTTCTTTTTTGGTGAATATTAAAAATACCTTTAATAAAAGAAAGAACTGCCTAGTTAAAAAAAATTTATTAACATGCAAGCAATAATTATTCACAACTTCTATTATGACTTTATTATATCTCGACAAAAAGGAAAATGTTTTTTTATATACATGAAGAGACAAAAAGGCAAGTTATATCTAGTCATATTAGTCACTTAATAAGAACAAATTATTACTCAATAACAAGTTATAACTTAACAATTTGCAAAATCTTTTTAAGTCATTGATCCTGTATATATATATAACTTTATGGGTTCACTTTTCTGCCTAGATAAATTATCTATATTGAGCCTAAAATGATGTTGTTTTGGAACGGAAATCAAGATATTTTTGTAATTATAAATTATTTCAAGGTTATAATAGTTTTTCTCATTATAAGTTTTTAATTTTTCAATCTGAAACGACGTTATTTTGAGAATAAATGTAGATAACTTATCTACATTTACTATAGAAACATTAAAGGCTAACTTTATTTATAATTATTCCACTTAACAAGAACAAATAATTTGTTAATGAATAGTGACTCACAAATTTCTTTATAACTTCATGTAATCTTACAAAAAAATAAAAGTTATTATTATTAGTTACTTAGTAAGGACAAATGATCACTCTGAGAAGTAATAACTATTTACAAATTGTCCCTAGTTTTATATATCTAACGTATAATTTCATTTACAGTTACTAACCATTTAGTAAAAACAAATAATCACTTTATTACCAAAAAAAATAATCACTTATTACCAAGAAATAGTCATTCGTAATTTTTTTGTAATAAGTATTTTTTTGTCTATTAGATTAAATTTAGTATTCTTATGTCTAATTAAATTTTGTACTGTTCTTCTTGAGAATTTAAACTTTCTATGTTCATTAAGATTAAATATTAATTCTTAGTAGCTCTCTAGATTAATTTTCCTTAGTTAATCTTTCATGTATACAGCTGTTTTATTGGGGAAGGTAGAAGGAAATAACCATTAAATTCAAATACCGGCTTCCTGCTGTTGTATGTTGTTGATTTCTTTCTTTCTTTCTTTTTTGTTCTAATTAAGGAAGATATGTGATAAACCTTTAATTTATCTTGTTTTATGGACTAAATAATATGAATTATCTAATGAAATAAGTCAAAAACTAGGGTTTAATATGATAATCATGAACATTATCTGATTGTTACTTAATTAAATAATATTTGCTATTTTTAAGGGATTTGATGACAAAGAGATTCAAATATGAAGATTTTGGATAAAGGAAAATCAAATCAGAAAAGATGATGGATCAAGGTGGAAACAAGAAGATTAAAGATCCTATCAAGTTGTTGAGAGAGGAAGGAGGCTTAAGCCCCATCTTGAAGCTTAAGCCTCCTAAACAAGCAAATAGCCTCTGCCTATGGGAGCTTAAGCCCCCATTTCGAAGTTTAAGCTCCCTAAAAACGCATTTGTCACTGCCTCTGGGCGCTTAAGCCCCCAACTCAGGGCTTAAGCGCACGGCCAGAAGGAATTTCCAAGTCGAGAGCGCGCTTAAACGCCCTCCAGCGCGCTTAAGCGCGCAAACGCGAATCTGAAATCACCGTCCTAGGGGGCTTAAGCGCGCTACAGCAAGCTTAAGCGCCCCGACAGATCCAACCTAGGCCCATTCAAGGTGTCTTATTAAGATGCGAACTCTTGACCTATAAAAACACCATTGGGGACCAGAAATACAGAACTTTTACATTGCAAAACAATTCTTGGTGCTTGGAGATAGAAGGAACGCAGAAGATTCATCAGATTCATGTTCGTGAGCGGCGGAGACGGATCAACGTCAAGTTTTCACTGGAGATATTGAAGATTCACCAATCACCTATGGAGTTTGGGGGAGCTTTTATATTGTATTTTGTTCTTGATTTTTCGATGTTTAGCTAATTCTTTAAGTAGTTAGGGTTAGATAGAATTCAATCAATTTATTATGCTTTGAACAATTCGTTATGTTAATTTTCTTTTATATCATGAATGAAGTTATTTGTTTTTAATGCTTTATATATAGGCTTGAATCTTATATATTGATCATAGGTAAATGCATGACAATAGGGATGTTGGTGTGTGATCCATATCTGATAACTTCATCGTGAACGTTATGATTCTAGGAATAGACATAGGATTTGCGTAATCGTTAAGATTTTTGAACGTAATGCTTGCATGCTTGGGGAATAACCGGGGAACTAGGGTTCTTTCAAGTTTGTAAAGGTTTTAGGGTAACAAGGAATTGAGCTCTAATAACATGCGAAAGAATTGATTAGATTGATACTAAGGACGATTAACGTGAAGAAGGAATTGAAATGTAATAAAGAGATTGAAGGAAATCGAAACACTGGCTACGTTTTTATTTACGTTAGTTAATTCAAATTTTTACTTTCTTGTTTTCTTTTAATTATTGCGATTAATTAGTTTTGCTATTTAATATTTTAAATTCAAATCTTATTTCCAACTACAACATTGATTGTCCAACTTAAGTCGCGATAGTGAATTAGTGCTTGAGTATAATCCTCGTGGGAACGATCTCTTACTTAACACATTATATTACTTGTACGATCGGTGCACTTGTCGTGAGTAGCAACAATATGGAATGTTGTGGATTGTCCCACCAATAGAATGAGCAACCTTGCTGGCTGATTCTATGCGAATCTATAAAAAGAACGTAGTAAACTAGTAACAACAAAATTCAAATCCCAGTTCTCACACCTCTTTTCTTTCTTCTATGAGCTAGATTATATATACAACTATCAAGATATAATAAAGTCTTAAAATAAGTTGTGAATCTAGGGGAAGAATATATTTACCAACAAAAAAGTTTATCACATTTACAACCAATTTAATCATCGTTGATTTTCGTCAATCTAACGGTTATAATTTATTGAAAATTATTGGATCACACTTATTAATTAATTATTAATTCTCAATAAACTCAATAAATTATAATCGTTAAAATGACAGAAATCAACGGTGATTAGATTGGTTGTAAAAGTGATAAACTTTTTTGGTAATAAGTATATTCTGCCCCGTGAATCTAATAATTATAATTTATAATTAGTTAATAAATTGTGACTCACAAATATCTTTATTATTTCATGTATCATTACAAAAGGAAAACTATTTGATATTATTAGTCACTTAGTAAGAACAAATGATCACTCAATGAGAAGTAATAACTACTTACAAATTATTATTCCTAGTTTTATACGACACTCCGGTAAGTTTTTTTATAAACTTACAAACTACACTATGTCTGATCGGTAATACTCTATTCAAGATGTATTACTGATCAGACATAGTGTAGTTTGTAAGAATTTATAAACAAAAAATTTATAAATATAACCTTATATATATATATAGAGAGAGAGGGGGGGGGGAGGAGGAACAACTTATATTAAAGTAAAAAATAAATAAAATCTTATACCAAATCTTAATCGTTGATCGATCTATTTATATTTAACGACTCTAATTAATTATACAAAGCGAAAGTTGTTAGATGATGTTGAATGGTTTGTATTTATTCATGTAGTGCTTAAGTTGGCGCTGGATTGAACTTCCTTGCAACCATGAAAATATAAGTTATTTTTAAACGGAGTTACAGTAGCTGTGGTTGATTTTGTCCACAGACAATTGTAATGAGTATGTTACAAAGCTTTATTTCACTTATAAAATCCACTATCAATACAAAATGGATAAAATAACACACGTTGCAATGAGTATGTCACAACTTTGCCCCCTTGACTGTCATAGAATTGCAAACTACAAGGGTCATTCCATGCCTTTTAAACATGTAACTTTGCATAGAGTTATATCTCATACTGACATAATACATCAATATTCAAGGAACCTTTGTAATTTATCAATATTAAAATCCATTTTGCAAGATTTAAGCAATTTTTTTTTTTTTTGGTATTTAGATTTAAGCAATTTACCTATGACTCACAAAGTCTCCCGATTGATAAACATTTTTAAGATATGTGTATTTTCTACTTAACAAATTAAAAATAAGAAAAAGAAGTAACAGTGCGTAAAGCTCTAGCATTCTGTTACAAATTCGCAGTTTTTGGATATAAATTTGGATTTTATAAAAGTTATGTTGTAGGGAAGTGATTGTGTTATGTTACTGAGATTCGTTTTCCATGCTTTAATTTTTTATTTTTTTTTGCTTCAAAAAATGCAAACCCCACAAAATGTTGTGTATGAAACTTTATCATATCATGTTAAAGGACAAAACGAAAACCCTATAAATTTAGCCACTCTTACTATAATTTTTTGTCTTTCTTTTCTCTAACATAAGAAAAAATATAAAAAATGAAAGGGGAACATGTCTTTTCAACTGCAGGATAAAGAAGTTATGTATAGCACTCACATATTTTTCAGAATACGGAACCGTCTCCTGAAAAAAAGCATATGGAAAAAACTTCTAACCCACAAATAAAATAGGATTAGTCGGATTGGTGTTGGTGAAAAATTTTAAATGTCGTAACTTTGAGTCATGATAAGAGACTACCTTAGTTTATTAATTTCCAAGTCAAACTTTTGAAGTCTATCGGAAATCGACCTCTTCAATCTTATTTAAGACTTAAAAAGAAAAATGGAATATATTTTCTTCAATTTTTGTGTCAAGTTGCTTCAAAATATTGGATTGGCCGAGTTTTGTGCGAAACTCTTATATCCTTTTCACACATACAATCATGACTTTCTGTACCCTGCTAATTCATTTGACCTGAATGCACCTTATTTTTATTTTATTTTATTTCATTTGTTTTCCATTTCACTTTCGGGCAAGGCAGAGCGAAGTAACCATGAGATTCAAACTCCAGGCTGTCACAATTCACTTCTCTCTTTTTTTTCTTCCATGGGTTACAGAGATGCATTAACCTATAAAAGGAGAGTGTTCAAAGTTCTATAATCTCATAATAAACAGAAAGCTAGCTAAATAGTATATCATAATAATATAATGGCACGGTCATCTTCCTCCAATACTCCTTCAGAAATGCACGAGGTGTTCATTAGCTTTAGAAGTGAGGACACACGCAAGACCTTCACAAGCCATCTTAATGCTGCTTTGAAAAGATTAGATATCAGAACCTATATGGACAACAATCTTGAGAGAGGTGATGAAATATCAACAACCCTTGTTAGGGCCATCGAGGAAGCCAAGCTTTCTGTCATTGTTTTCTCTAAAAACTATGCAGCTTCTAAGTGGTGTTTGGATGAGCTCCTGAAAATACTTGAATGTGGAAAGACCAGAGGCCAAATTATAATACCTATTTTCTATGATATAGATCCTTCCGATGTGAGGAAACAGAGGGAAAGCTATGCAGAGGCATTTGCTAAACACGACCGAAACTTTCAGGATATGAACATGGTAAGAAAGTGGAGGGAGAGTTTGGAAGAAGCAGCCAATCTTTCTGGTTGGGATTGCAATGTCAACAGGTAACTCTATACCAATAAACTTGTAGTTTAGTACTCTTCCTATCAAAATAACACTAAAACTACAAAAGGAAATGCAAACCTTCCTTTTAGAGTAAATACCCTACTTCGGTTACGATGACCGCTTTAGTCCTTAGCAAATAAAAAAGACTATTCGTGATCTCTAAGAAATTCAAAGTGAACCCATTTTAATCCTTTTGAGGGACGTGGATCTTTTTTGAATTTGTAAGGGACCACGATTTCAACTAAATTGATCTATTTTGAATTTATTAGAGACCATGAATAGCCTTTTTATTTGATAAGAACTAAAGCAGACATTGTGAAATTTACTGACAACCAAAAATGATATTTACTCTTTCTTTTATTTTATTTTACTTTTTTGGTATCCCTGATGTTGAAATGATTTTTGTGTTTGCTTATTTTAAAACTAGATATGTATTTGTGAGAACTTGAGATGCTTATATGTGTCAATTTGCTTGATGTTTGTGTAAGTTCAGGACAGAGTATGAAATTGTTGAGGAAATTGCAATGGATGTGCTACAAAAGCTTAATGGTGTATGCGTCGGTGACCTGGACCATCAGATCACAAAGTATGAACAACTTGCGGAACTTCAGCATCAATATTTTCAGAGCATGCCTGCTATAGATAATTGGCATAATCATCAAGCAACGATTAAACGTATCACGGAACTTAAAATGGAGAGGAGTCTCCGTTTGCTTCGTTTGACACCTGATATGCTGTCACATATAGAAAATTCGAGAGCTAATAATAGTATTTTCTGAACGTTTTTAAGCAAAATGTATGTTGGTTTTTATTTATTTATTTTATCAATTTTCAACAAATTCCTGTGCTTTTTGTTTGGTCTTGCAACTGTCTCTGATCTTCATCATTTGATATTGCAGGGAAGCCACACACACACACAAAAAAACCCTTAGCACATACTACTATTTTGTCAACGCTAAATCAAGCTTTGTACAATTCCTCTCAAACTATCAGTGTTAAGAGAAACAAATCTATTGCACACAGTTACAACTGCAGCATTTTACCTAGTACATCATATCTCTTAGTTGACCATAAGTATATATTGTGATAGATGCCTGAACTGTCAGATATATAGGAGATTACTTCAAGCAAATATATCATGAAAACCAACAATAATAAATGTTTATTGATGAATTATAGTTCAAGTTATGGAGATTACTCCAGGGAAATATATCCCAAGAATCAACAATCAACAAATATTTAACGATTAATCATCGTACAAGTATCCAAGGGGAAGGGGGGAAAAAGGACTTCATCAGTACCTGCAGTAAATCCCATACACAAATTTTTCTCACAATAGTCTCAGTTCCAAGGTTTTTGATAAGTATAAAGCAGTAGCACCACATTGGAATTTCGATCAAAGTCCAGGATATTTAATTTAAAGATTTATCATAAATTTGATAAAACTTTTGTTCTAAATCATAGATTTTATATCATGGCAAAAAAGTTTCTTTAGCCCTGTTCTTTAAGGTGCTATGTTTGGATATCTAATGATGGATGAAATGGAAAGAGATAATATGGAATGGAATAAAATTACCATATCATTATTTGGATATTTTATGATGGAACAGAGTAAAGTTCCCAAACGGATGGTCAGAGTTATACCTTAAATGGAGGGGAAAAGAAAAATGAGAGTATTGGAAGGAATGGGATGAAAAGGCTAAATCCTATTCCATTCCATTTCTTCAAATTTTAGGAAATCCAAACAATGGTAACAGATGGTATTCCATTCCTTCTATTTCCACAAATCCAAACATAGGCTAAGTCTTAAATTTACGCTTCACAAGCAGTTTGTATATTAGGAGCCAGCAATTAAGTTTCAACCCTAAATATGTTATTCATGGATGGTTTTCTTCAGGGAGGGAAAATTCTGGAGAAAGAGCTGAAACAATACACCTTTTATTAGAGCTGCAACCAGAAGCTAGATAAAGACACCTAATCAGATCAACAAAATCAAGTTCCAACATCTACAAAATCAGCATTCCTTATAATACACCAAACTTTTTACAAGAAATCAACCTATAAATGTAGAATCTCTAACAGCCCCCAAAATTGGCAACCATAATGGGGACTAGCTGGACAAAACTTTTCATTTAAAATGCAGTGATGTTTGCATAATCATTATTTAAAACAGTATCTTTGTCTTATTTTATTTTATTTTCAACAGATAAGAGAATAAACACTTCGAATATGAACATAACTGAAAGAAATTGAGATTTTGAAATACTGCAAAACATATATTTTAAACAAAAGTGGAGGAAAAGGTTGGTCATAATACTACATACATACAGGAAAAGTTGGTTGACAATTGAGATTCAGAAATTTAAGGGACAACCATTAACACACGACTATTCAGATTAGAGATTATTGAATTCCCAGTAGCAGATAGATCAAAAAGCAAAATACACTTAAGATACTGTAAGCCAACTATGATTTAATTTGATCCACTGTAAACATAGATCTTCTTCACACAATCATCAAACAATGTGTTGACAAATCCTACAAAAGAGTCTGACTATCACAAAAACTGCCTTGGGGGTCAACTTCTCTTTGATTATTGTATTAACATATCATTGAATGATAGTGTAAAAAACTTGAAACTAGTATAGGATCAAATTTAAACATAACCAATTTTTCTGTGGCAAATGAGGATGTACTCAATCAGTAATCTTAATGTCAAAGCACAACATACAAACAACTGGAAGGTGTAGGTACTGGGAGTGACATACACGTTCCTACCTTCAGTCAAAGTTTTATGGACACTCAAATTTAGTTTGAAGAACCAAATGCAGGGGGTTCATCTTAAATTGTTAAATTGTTTATTTAAAAAAAAATGAAATAAAGAAAGAAAAGATGCACCACAAAAGTTATAATTTGATTAGGTCTGAAGGTCCCAAGTGAAAACATAATCTAGATGGGCGAAATTTTTAATCAGAAGCAGGATGTTCGGCAACAAGGAATATCAGTTAGCTGACTCTCCTACTTTCCCTAAACATCAGACAAAAGTGGATGTACAAAATATCAGCCATTGCAATCTTATATATTATTGAACTAGTAGCCTAAGCTCATAAAAACCAAGGAAGAGAATGAACAACAAAACTTTAACAATTGTCTGTGTACTGATAAAGGAAAATAAAACACTTACGTCAGCTTGATGAGCTCAAACCTTTTTTAAGATTTCTAAGGATGCTCCACATGAATGTGGAAACAAAGAAAAGGATGATACCGGTAATGAATGCGTATTTGAGACCAAGGTTCACTATCAAATTTACCAGCAGCCCAGCAAATACAACACCAAAGAAATTTGCAGACACAGCACTCCAGAATGGCATATCAAGAATGGATGCTATAATGGCTCCAGACCATGCTCCTGTTCCAGGAAAAGGAACAGCAACAAACAGCATAAGACCAAGCCACTGAAACTCCTCCACTGGACCAGCCTTCTCTTTGGCATTCTCAAATAGCATGTCAAGGAACCGTGATGCAGAAGAGCTCCTTGCAGCGAGGAAAGATGCAAATCTTTTCAGGTAGAGTATGATGAACGGCACAGGGATCATGTTCCTACATCAATTGCTTAAAGCTTGATCATTCAATCATGGAAGAACTCCCAATATTACCAAAAATCAAACTAAATTACAACAACAAGCACTAAGGAAGCATATTCTGCCATGCCAAATCCATGCTTTTCTGTATAACTATGATGTTAAAATTACATATGAAAATGTAATCTAACATAACTGTTCTAGTGAAGGAGCAGATTCATAATGCATCAGTATCGCAACTAAGCAAACACATTCCCCCAAACAATAACCATGAGGAATTCTAGAAAGTCAAGTAGTGGCAAATGTGTTGCATGATTGAAGTGAATTTCAAGAATATCTCATATAAGCTAACCATAGAAGGGTGCTTAAAAAAAAGGAAGAAGAAAAGGACTAACCCAAGAATGGATAACACCGTTAAAGTTGCAGGGTTGAGTTGCATCCAATAGCCAACAGGAATAGCCCCACGAAGTTCAAGCACAGGAAGAGTAGCAAGGGTGAAAACCACAACCCCATCAGGCCAGCCCAATTTTCTCAAAGAATTGGCAATCTCTAAGCCAAAGCCAGAGGCTTTAATAGAGTCAACAGCAGCATTAGCATCCCTTGAAACAGCAAACCAAGCCAGGGACAGAGAGGCCCAGAAAAGTACCCAGAGAGTGAATTTAACTGGCTTTTCCTCAAAAAGCAGCAATTTTTCTGTTTCATCAGCAACGTCCAAACATCCATCAGAAGAAGCTCTCACTTGGGTCAATGAAAAAGGAGCAATTGCAAGAGGAGGTCTGAAATTGGGGGAAGCTTGAATGGTTGAGCAGGTGTTTGATTTAAAAGATTGTTTGCCATTTAAGATGAGGGAATGGCCATTGAAAGGTGAGATTCTGTAGTGGGGTTTTCTGAAAAAGAATGGGGATGTTAATGTCAAAGCAGAAGCAGCCATTAACCCAAAAAGTAGGGTAAAAATGAAAAATTTGTTTGATAAGATGGAGTTTGAACTTATAAATGAAGAAGCTTGGTATTAAGGTTCATCGAAATGGGTCAGGTACAATACAAAGTTTGAGTGAGAGTGAGTGAGGTTGAGGCTAGTGACTACAGCATCAACACAGCTATAGCTTCGTACTGTACTGTACTGTACTTGTTGAGTTGGGGTTTAAAGGGGGAACATGCTATCACAGCTTCTCAGTTTTCTCCAATGACAAGAACCAATCTCAATTTTCAGTACACAAAACAGTTTCGAGGAAAAAAAGGAAAGGAGTTAACGAGGTGAGATTTCGGTGGCCACAGAACGCAATTCTCAGGGGGCATTAGGATACAAATAAACGGAGGAGTTTACAATGTTTGTTCTGACTTCTGATTTGTTATTTATTTCTGAGATTTCATAGTGCCGCCGATAACGAAGAGAAGAGGTTGACCCTTTTATTGAGTGAGAAGCGGAAAACACATATAACAGTCGCACTAACATCCAATCAAATTGAATTAATTAATTATAAATTTCTCGATTATTTATTCAATTTATTTAATAATTTATATAAAAAATAATATAATTAATCATTTATTCAACTAAATTCGTTATTTTTATTTGACAACATGATATTAAAACTCTCTAAGGGTAGCATACAATTTGCCTATTGAAAAAAATGATTAGACAACTTCTATATATTCACCTAGAGAACTTAAGAGTTGGATTTTTAACATTTGCAAAAGGCATTTGAGAATTTCGCATGGAACTTAGTAATAAAATTTCACAAATACCTTCCGATATGTTAAGATAAAGAAATTTTGTTGACTTATATAAGAAGGGAGATCTTTTTACTTCAGTATGAAATTTAGAAGTCTTACTTTTTATCTTAATCATTAATTTTCGTTCATCTAACAATTATAATTTATTAAATTATATTAATTAATTAATTATTAATTTAAAATAAATAACAACCGTTAAATAGTCGAAAATCTACGACCTAAAAGAGAGAATAAGGCTTTTAAATCTTACACCCAAATCAAGAAAATCCTCAAATTTTATATTTGCAACCGACACCTTTCATATTGGACAATGGCTCCAATGTGTAAAGGGGAAAAAAACCGATAAAAAAATTCGGTACTACACTGACTTCTTAAGTTTTTTGAATTGGACCATTCATAATTTTTCATTTAATTTAAAAGTTTACATGTTCCTTTTTTTAAAATGTTTGGTGTGGTTATCCCTATTTTGGATTAAAAATAGTTTTATTTAACCAAAACAGGTCTAACGCTTCAATCCAATGATGAATTAAGTTTTATTTAATCAATATATATAAGAAAAATGTTTATCTTTTCAAATGATATAATTTATGTTATTTCACTCTCATAAAAAAGTAGTATCTATATCTTTGACACAACTTTACATCACTTGAATTGACATACACTTTATTTATATATATATATATATATATATATATATTGAAGAGAATTATATTGATAAACTTTTTTTCTAAAAATTATATTAAATCTAACTAGTCAGACTTTTTGTAAGTTTGTAAAATAATAAATTTATCAATATAACCTCAATCGTTTATGTTCTTAAAGTCTGCGGGCCCTTGAAAACCTACCCGAAACAAGTACGACCAATTAGATTGTAGGCCCTTTTGTTTCGCTTTATATGATATAAATGCCTTACTAGAAATCCTAAGAAACCCTTTTGTAGCTGCAGATTCAAAGAAAAAGGTAATGGTCCAAAAAATGTAAGGATATCCTAAGAATCTAAGTAAAAAAGTAAAAACAAATCAATGTAGTTACATTTAAGGTGAAGAAAATAGATATAAAATTCAGGGTTATCACATTAGAGAAGTTATTTCCCTAAAATTAGACCATGGTCATAATGACAATTCCTTCTTTTTTTTGGGTGGGTGACAATTCCTTTTTAGTAAAATCAAACTAAGTAATCATAAGAATTTTCTTTTGATCCATATTTGACATGAAAATTTTTTATGGTATTATGTAATATACTTGCCAACATAAAAAAATAAAAAAATTATACTACAATAAAACAAAATTAAATCTTACGTTGATGTTGATTAACTCTATAAACTCCTCTACCATTTTTCTTCTTCTTTTTATTATTAAATCAATTATTTATTATATGGCTTAACCCGATTTAAATGTGTTATCATATAAGTTGTAAATTATCACTGTTTTTGTAATCAAATTCCGTCATTTTATTTATTTACGATGGATTCTCTCGAAGAATAGGTGATAAATTATATGCATTCCTTTTAGGAAGATATATTTTTAACCTTATAGAATTCATAGATTTTTGTGCACACCTATTTTAGGGTTTTTTTTTTATTGTTATGGTCAAAATTATAAATTTATAATGGTATCATATCAACTTATTTATCATTCTTATTTTATTTGAATATAATGGAGAATTCAGATTAAAATTTGAAACCTTAAGCAAACTATTTAAATTCATCATCACTAGTCAATTTCTAATAGCTTACTTATTTATCATTCTCATATAGCATAGACATGCTAACCCCGAGCATGCCACCTAATAGTATCTTAGGTAGTGTTTGGTTCAGGACTTCTGAAAATTATCTCAGCTAAGTGTAAGTGGATTTCCTATTTTTTCACGTTTGGTTGAGGATAACGTTCCCCTTAGCCATCCTTCCTCGTTGCCCACCTATTCACAAATGAGTGTAAAAATGGAAGAAATTCACGGTTGAACTTGCCCTCTCCCACCATGGTATTGTTGTGAAATCCAGATAAATGGAAAACAGGGATGAAAAATAAGATAAGTTACCCCTCCGTTGAAGCTGATATCTGCCATGAAAGATAGCCGAGAGGAAAATGGGGATCACAAAAGAAATTGACTGTAAAATGGGCCCCTGATGTGTATGACCCAATACCTACATTATTATCGCACACTGTCAAAAACAAGAAACCGCAGAAACCCAGGAAGAAGAAGACTGAAAAGAAGAATGGGAATGGTCAGAAGGGAAATTTATCTCGAGGGGGCAGTGGCAAAGATAAGAAGCAGTTTCGCAAACTGGATGGGAACTCTGATTTGTGCTATAAGTTGCTGGATTCTCATGATAAAGCCATCGAAGCTTCTACTAAATTAGATGCTCTTGATGTTTGTTGTCAAGATTCCTACTGTGGAACTAGTTTCTTGAAAAAATCAGTCACAGGTGTTTTTAGAAGGATAGTTTTATAATTTCATTAAATTTTTCATCAATATTTTATCTTCAACCAAACACACATTCAGAAATTTAATTTAATTTTTCTAGTAAAATTTTGCCCAACCAAACAATTATTTTTAAATTTTTCTATGTAACTCACTTTCCCTGTAGATCTCTAGTATTTACATTTCCCTAGTATTAAAAAATTTCACCTCAATCAAACACTACCTTATAATCGTACTTAGGGTGTGTTTGGTATAAGAGAAATTTTTTTATGTCCGGAAATCATGATATCCAGTAATATACAAAGAAATCCAATTTACCGGGAATGATATAAAAAAGTTGTTTGATAGATGTAAATATTATCGGGAATATTTAATAATTTTACTGAGTATATGTTTGGTTGTGAGTAAAATATTACTAGTCGATTATCAAAAAAAAAAAAAATATTACTAGTAATATATGTTGATTTTACAAAACTAACCTTAACTTTTTAATGACACCGGACCTACTAATTTGATGTGTGTTGGGGGTATTATTGTCTCAAAAATATGTTATCTGCTTTCCCTTCCCTTAGTAATCATGAAAATCGCCTAATTTTTGGTAATCTAAACAGTAATTTTTCTTTGTAAAATGCTTTACCGGTAAAACTTGGATACCCAAGAATTAATTTTTGATACTTCTACCAAACATGGGAATCGATGTTTACCAAAGAAAGTTTACCGATAATCCTTGTGTCTTGTGATACCTTTATACCAAACACCACCTTATTGTGTTTTCCAAACATGTATAATCCTACTGCCAGATAGCAGCATCACGATCGAGAATTATTTTAATAATTCCGGAGCACATTTAACTCAGAGAAATGAAGGAGAGAGAGAAGAGACCAAGGAGAAAAGAGGGAGAAAAAATAAAATTTCCTCCAAATGTCATCTTCTTAATAAAAAGACCACTGTATGCCCGGATCACTTGAATTTAAGTAATTCAATGCAAATAACATGATTGTTATATGTTGAAAGATATGAATAATCAAATAATTTAATGCGATTGAATTTTTTTAAAAATAGTTGATGTAATTTTTTTATATGTGAGTCAACCTTTTTCCTTTATTTGAAGAATTAATCAACCTTAAATTTCGATATTGAAAATATGAAGAAATAAAAAAGAACTGTGCCATTTTATTAAAATTATTATATAAATAAGATATTGCTATAAAGTAAAATAATATAAACCCTTTTTATTTATAAGAAGATATTTATTATTGATTTTCAAAGTCATGTAATTGATTATAATTAATAAATGAACATTTCAATATGAAATTTGTTACTATAATATGAGAAGCTATTAATTAATTTTAGGGGAAAGACATAAAATGAAAAATTGTTTCTAAAAATTTAATTTAATTTTACAATTAACTTTAATGCACCTTTTCATGAATCGCGCTTTTTTATTTTACAAGTAATTTGAAAGTGTGCCACTTCATTTTGCAAGTAATTTTAATGCAATTAAATTTTTGGAATCCTCATTTCATGTTATGTTTCCCGGCTAAAAATTTGGTAAAATAAAGAGGCACATTTGTATAATTCATGAAGAGGCGCATTAATCATGAACCTTATAATATTGCATGTATTTTTTTATTTCATGTCTAACCCTGAAATTACGAGAATAACATATGAAAAATCACCAAGTACTCAGATCAACTTATGTGGTGGAGAAATTTAAAAAAAAAATAGAAATAATCATATTTTCACATTAATTCACTTCATATATATTAATAGTCATGTTTATATCACATTCATCAAAATCTAGTAGCATAAGATGACGTGTAAAATAAAAAGACGAGCATGTGTACAACTTATAGAATAATATTAAGGGGCTTAAGTCTTTCACGTTGGAGGACAGAATGTAGGTTTCCTGCAGACATAATATTATGTGAAATCCATTATTTTAATAAAAAATAAAATAAAAACCCAACATGTTTTTTCTATGATTAGCAGGACATGGTTTTTGTTTTTCTGCAACATAACAGTTGCATTTCCCTAATATTAATTTTATTTCCTTTAGCAGAAATAACGAATCAAATTCTAGGGATGCTTAATTAGGTGAAGTAATTACATGAGTAAATTAATGATAAATTTAATAAAAAGAAAAAGGGGTGATCCACTGCTATCACGTGATAACCATTAAACAAGCTAAGGGTCCAGGAGCTCATTTTCGACGATCGTGGAACACATGCTCCTTTGTCAAAGGAAAAACAAGGGAAAGGGATAGAAGTAGAAATAATTATAAAAATAAAGATAATATAAAAATTTATTTTTTATCATATTTAATAAATGATTTACCAAGTACTTAGTGATCTTGGAGTATTAAAAATATTTTACTAGACATTATCATGTTTATTAAATGCTGCCACGTGGCAAAAAAGAAATTGCTACACCGGAAAAGTAAAAGGGTTAACCTGTTTTCGCTACACCGAAACATTATCTATTTATATTTTTTTACCATAAGTAGTAAAAGGCCTTGCCATAGATATTTACAAAAAATTTTCAGGTGACGTAATGTCGCTCAGTATCCTTACCGATTCAAATTGGACATCAGATCAATTATATTCTTAACCGATTGATCCAATTTGAACTGGATCGAAAATCGGGTCTAATCGATATTGAATTGATTTTATGTTAAATTATATAAAATATTATTTTACAAGCAAATGAAATTCGAACTTGAATCTCTTTATTTAAGATCAAAAGACTTGTCACAAAATTATTTATTAGATATAATATTTATAATTTAATATTTATTATATATTATTCTAAAATTCAATTGAACCATTGAGCTAGTAATTCAGTATCTCCACCAAATCAATAACCCATCTGAGTTTTAAAACACTAATTTGCTATACGGATGCAATGGCCCATAGTCATTTGAATTTAGATGCATTGAGTTGGTAAAGAACCAATTCAACCCAAAAGTTTAAGCTGTTGAGTGAAGTTATATTAATGATTTTATATATCTCAACACTCCCTCACACGAGAGTCAAATGGGCTTGAAGGATGGACAATGCACAAGCCCATCTACCTGTGTGAACAAAGAAATTCCACCTGAAAGAAAGTGGAGGGCGGCGAGGATCGAACCCGGGACACGAGACTCTAATGCCATGTAAAGAACCTTAGGATACACCACCCCAAGAGCTAGCTCAAAGGATGAGAGTGCCCAAGACCTTATAAACTCCACACATTAGTTGGACATACAACCAATGTGGGACTATATATCTCAACACGCCCCCTCACACGAGAGCCCATTGGGGTTTGAAGAGTGGACAATGCAACAAGCCCAGCCTACCTGTGCTAAGATACTCCACAAGAGAAAGTGAGGAATGACAAGACTCTCTGATACCATGTAAAGAACCAATTCAACCCAGAAGCCTAAGCTGTTGAGTGAGACTACATTAATAATTTTATATATCTCAACCGAGTTTGAAGTAATTTCAATGTGTTGCTAATATCTGTGACCAGTGACCATAGCAGGTACTCCTTCTCACTTGCATCAACAAATTTCATTCCAACAAATAAAACTAAGCCGGAATTAATTTTGATTAAAAAAAACGCTTCTAAATTTTTGAAGAATATTGAAAATTTATATATGATAAAAAAATCTTCCTCCAATTTTGGCAAAACTTATATTTACATGTCCAGAGAAATATCACGAAGCACAGAAAATTACAAAACCATCAAACAACAAAATTCCTGAAATCCACATGAAACAGGCTTATATTAAATCCACCATCAGATTGCCCATAACCCACTGGATGTCATTGATGAACAAATATTGCAGTTACGATCCATTGTATGGCAATTTTAAGCAACCTCCATAGGACCATGATGAATTCTGCTTAATAAATGCAATGGACTATTACAAGCCGGAACTTAACACACATTCTCAAATCCTAAATGCTCTCTCATGAAACTGGAATAGGTTTGGATCATTATATACATAGGCCTTGCATTGCAAAAAACTTGGCTTCTCACAGTAAACCTTGTGCCTCAAAGTCTCTAGCCACTGAATCACCAGAAAAGAAAGCAAATGTTCAGGTTACAAGATAGCACAGATGATAAAATAAATCAGAAAAGTAAAGGAAGAGAGAAAATGAAACAAAAGTAAATGATGTCTAATGTGAATGCGAGCAGTCAAACCAGTATCACCAGATTTTGAAGATATCTTCTAAAAGTTTGCTTAAAAAAATTGTTAATTATTAGTTGTAAAACATTTATGACATTTGACGAATCATAGCTTAATTGGTTGAACCACCATGACATTAACCCTTTCTTCTAATTACTTGGTCCTCTGGACTCTGTTGATTTTTCTATGAACGATGATGCATGTACAGTAGTAGACTAAGCATCCAGAAGAAAGAGACTCAACAAGGGGAAAAGAAACTCACCCTTTGAAAAGGGAAGAACCAAAACAACCTCCATCGTGACATTGTTTGGAGGAAGCTGCAAGCGAAGAGGATAAAGCCTTCCATTCAAAGGACTCCGATTACACACAATGACTCCCTCTAGCCCTGTTTCTTCTTCAAATTTTCGTCTCAATTCTTCAACTCCATTCCCTTTGAAAATCAAAGAATAAGCTTGACCACCTTCATCACTCACCTCTCCATTGTCCTCAGCAACATGGTAGTATATAGTTCGCCCCTCCATCTTCGGCGAAGAACCAAGATTCAAATCATTCGACTACAAACAAAACCAAATAAAATCAGCACCCAAAAAAAAAAAAAAAAACCAAAATTCAACCTTAACCAAAGCAACCCAGATAAAAATTTGGAAACTTTTCCAAGAATCTGATACCTGTTGCCTCGAAAAGCTCTCAGATTTGGTGGGTACCACAGGTGATGATGGCGTGACAGGATCCGAAAGAGGCAAGGGTGGAGCAGAAGGTTTCTCATCAACGGGAGAACGAACAACATTAATCTCCACAACATCAACATCCCACAAGATCCAATCCTGTGTTGCGGTTCTCTGAGGGATATCATGTGTGACAGTGTTCCTCCAAGGTGGTAAACCACCATTTGCTCTGAGGAAGTTGCCATAACGAGTCTTGAGCTTGACGTGAGAACCATCTCTAACAGGTTCCCACTCGACCGAGGAATCGAGCTTCGAAGGAATGGTTTGTAGCACCTTGTGACCCGTCATGCCAAGCAAGAAGAGGTAGTTGGAGGCGGTGAGGTACTTGCCGTAACAGCTCTTGAGGCGAATGATGTTGTCGTATTCAGGGACGTACTCAACGAGCCACCGTGCACACTTTGATGACCCGTTTCGGCTTTGTGTCACCGACTCCTCGTCCTCCTCCGCAAGCAGGTACTTCTCGTGGTGGCTGCGGAGGCGCACCGCCTTCGCGTGGTGGAAGAAGTCCATGCCGGTCCTGAACTTGTTTGAACTTATTGTCTGCATGTGTGTGTGTACAACAACAAAGTTGTGAGTGGGTTTTGTTTTTCTGTGGGTTAAGAAATGATATGAACGAGTTATGGATGTGTAATTGGTGTCTGGTGATGGGTATTTATATATTAAGGGGACTTAGCAATTATTATTTATTTTTAATATTGGGTGAGAGTTATTGTTATTATTTTTAATCTTGGTTAAAACCTAGCGTGCTTGGGTTTGACCGATTGAGGGTTTTCAATTTTGGGTTGCAGTGTGCTGCGCTTTATGGGTGAAGAGGTATGAGTCAGGAGTGGCAACTGGGACAACACGGTTGGGTTGGGTGCACGCGGCAATTACGTGGGCAAAGTGATTACTCTTCTCACCTCTTCGATTAAATTTAAGTTCCGTGTGACCTTGGGCCTACAAGGGCATAGATTGTGTGTAGATTAAGATATTAATAAAAGGTATTTCATTCACATGTGGGTTAGTGCCTTGGGGGAATGTACAAGTCAAGTGGGGTTTCTCGACCTATGCTGATACGACCTGACAATTATTGAGTTTATTTGAGCAGACTTTACTGGAAAATAAATATATATTATGATTGTAATTCACTAAATTAATTTAAAAATAACAATACATTAATTTTTTCATTTTTAAAGTTTGAAATTCAAAACATAATCTAACTTAACCCAATTAGGCTGGTTAAAAAGTTTTAATTAAACTGAATAGCCTAGTCCAACTCATGTTTAATTGTTAAAGTTAGATTGGATTGCTGACTCAGCCCAATTCAATAAAGATCGAAACCAGTCATTCACGTATGAGTCATGGAAATACTATCTATGGTGGATAGTATAGAAGTATAGAACTGGATATAAAGCGGTTTGTCGCTGCCTTGGCGTGTTTGAGGATACCAAATAAATTAAGGTATTGTTTGGTTGAGGAGAAGTGAAAATATGGATGGGTAAGTGCACGTGAGTATCTAATAAAATCACATTTGGTTGAAGGTTTTCGATTTCTTTTCCCATCAAAGAGCTTTCCTAGCAAACTAAGAAGAAGACCAAAAATCGGATATCTTCACTGTTGAGAAAGCGTTTGAAGATGTGGAATTTCTCTTCAAAACCAGATAAGTGAAAAAGCTGATGAATGGCATGCTAAGTTTACCCCTATTGTGATTCGAAGGATGTAATAAAACGGTTTCATTTTTACGAGGATAATTTTGTAATTTCATTAAGTTTTTCCATCAATATTTTATCTTCAACCGAACACACATTCAAAAATTTAATTCAATTTTTCTGGTAAAATTTTGCTCAACTAAACAATTTTTTTAAAACTTTCCTATCTATCTCACTTTTCCCCTAGATCCCTATTATTTATATTTCCTTAGTATTAAAAAAATTTTCGTGAACCAAACACTACGTAAAGAAGAATCAAAATGGTATCAAGGTTATTAAGAAGACACCTACTAATGGCAACCTCGACCTAAAAAAGAAAAAATAAGAAATGCATAAAGGAAAATAGACATTACGTGATGCAGAAGCTAAAAAGTATGGAGATTCGAATAAACAAATCTCTACTCAAAAGCATGAAACTAACTTCTCCACAAGATGTCTCGGACAAATGACAATCTTGTAATAAAATATGGGAAATAGAAGTACTATGTTGTAGGAAAATGGCTATGTCATGTTATAGACACAATCAATATGAATTTCACTATTTAAAAAAAAAAAAAAAAGTGGTGTGATCCACATTAATCATGTCTATAACATGACATAATCATTTTCCTACAACATCGTACTTCTATTTCCCATCAAATATTGTAAGCTTGTATATTCTCCGTTCTGTACTTCCCAATTACCATTGAAAAACCACCTTTCAATGATACCATTTTGATTCTCTATTTCATTTTCTTTTTTGGCCTTAACTTTGCATTATTATATCCTACATCACTCAAATGGTTCCATCTACTAATTGTCTTTTGACGGAGACGTGTAACTCCTAACAAGAATATAAATAACTTTAAGTAACGTTATATTTACTTACTAGATTTTTTTTATATACCAATTTTAATTATTTCTCTTACGCGAGTAAGTTCCTTCATATATCTCCACAAGTTTTGATTTTATGGATCGATTATGAGACTAATTTCGAGTGTCTCCCATTGTATTAATGAAAATTGAACCAAAGTCCTTCTCCACCTACTTAATTCCATTGCCCCCAATTACTGAACTACCACAATTAAGTCACGTAATAGATTTCTAGTTGCTAGATCAGTGCTCAGCAAGTCATTAATTAGAAACACGCAAAAATCTAATGAACTTAATTCAAAGTGAGCTTCATCTTTTGATATATCAGAAGTACTCAAATATCATAACAATTAAAGAAGAAAAGGCATGCAATTAGCATACACTTCGATCTTAAGTTGCCATTGGAGACGTTCAGCTCTGCGCTGCACCCACAGAACTATTTTTATATTTAATTTTATTTTTAGACCTCTCATGGGGAATTCATTAAGACTTTAACGTTCAGTTCTGTGCTGCCCGCAACTGATTGTGGGAATAGTACTACTCTCTTCCATGAGCAAAACTTTAGTGCAGCGATAATTTTAAGACTTAAAAAAATATAAAACAAAGCATAAATAAATAAAAATTATTTTAATAAAAGAAACCACCGAATTTTAACAAGGAATGTTTGGTAGAAGATTTCTTTTAGGATGATTGGAAAAGTTAAGATGGATTTTCTAGTTGACCATGTCTGGTAGGAGATTTTAAAAAATTTATCCATCTTTCGGATTTGAATACCAATCTCAGTTTGTGTGTTAAATTGAAAAATTTCTCATTACCCCATCAAACAAAAAAATAGAAAAAAAACAATGAACACAAATATTTCTCCTCTTTTTTTTAAAGTGCCAAAAAAAAAACTAAAAAGAGAGAGTCTTGTTTGTATTTAGTCAAGGGTTAGTTTGATAATTTTATTTTATTTTTTCATCAATATTTTACTTTAACCAAACATAGACTCGTAAAATTTAATCCAATTTCTTCAGTAATATTTTGACCTATCAAACAATATTTTTTTAACATTTTTTCTAAATTTACTTTCTTACCATATTCTTAATAATTATATTTTTCTGATAAAAAAATTTTTTCTCTACCCAAACACTCCTAAAGTTTTTCTCCTCTTTCACACTTACCTCGGAGGAAATATAATATAAGTCAAGAGAAAGAAAAAGCTCCTCTACTTTCCACCCAAAAAAAAATGCTCCTCTACAAGTGCATAACAGTTGGTGAAGGTAACCACTTACGTGTCGCTAATCTTAAGTATAGTGCGTTTACTGTTGAGAGTGCGAAAATATTTGTGTCTGAAGTGTGTAATAAAGTTTTCGTTAGTGCAGAAGAGTTGGTGAAGGCATGGAGCAATGTATAGGTTCTCAAATCCAACTAATTAAGCAAGCGACTGGTGTAGTTGACTCCCTTACTCTTCTAGGAGTGAGGCTAAGAAACAATCCGCGTGTGAACGCCCAAGGTTTTCATTGGACATAAGATGGGAACCAAAAAAACTTGAACCATAGAAGCAAATGGGGGTCACATATAATTGATTGGAATATGATTTAGTTGTGGAGTGTTTCTATGCTACAAGCTTCGTTAACAAAAAAAATTTATACACCTTATAAAAAACCTTGGGATACACCACCCCAAAAGCTAGCTCAAAGGGTAGAGTGTCCAAGGCCTTATAAAGGCCACATTAGTTGTCCACATAATCAATGTGGGACTATATATCTCAACACGTCCCCTCACGCAAGAGCCCTTTGGGCTAGAAGCGTGGAATTGCACAGGTCCAATTTTTGGTTTACCATTTTGTGCTTTTTATTCTTAATTCAACTTTTTTAAAGCGGGGAACGGTGAAGTTCTGATACCATATAAAGAACCTTGGGATACACCACCCCAAAAGCTAGCTCAAAGGGTGGGAGTGCCCAAGGCCTTATAAAGGCCACATTAGTTGTCCACATAATCAATGTGAGACTATATATCTCAACACACCTCAAGTAATTAAATAGTGTTATAATTGCTTTAAGAAAAAGATGTATATATAAATACATTTCCACAATGGACTATAATATTTCTATGAAACATATGATAAAATGAATATTAAAAAGGTTAACTTATAAAATATAAATATCGTTTTTTATCGTATATTAATTGAATTTTTAACAAAACCCCAATCACCCAAGTTAATACAAAACATTGACATCTGACATTTTTTTTTATTTGTTCCGTGTTGGAGGGGTTCAAGTTAGTCAAGAGAATCAAATCAAACCGTACTACGATTCCTAATAATAATAATAATAATAATAATAATAATAATAATAATAAACTTATTCTTGAACCTTCATTTCTACTATTTATTATGTTATTTATTTCATACATATCTTGACTAATGACTGGTCATAGTTTTAAACTTCTTGATATCATTAAAAGAGTAATTTATAATGATAGCTTTAGAAAAGAAAAAAAATCAAGCTAATAATAACTAAGGACGGGCAAAATAATTAAAAAATTGAACAGAACTATGAAGTGAATGAACTATCCCTTAAAATAATCGGTTCTTAAAAATTAGTTCATGAACCGAACCGGTTTTTAAAGAACCAGTTCATTAACCGAACCGGTTTTTAGAACCAGTTTAAGAACCGAACTGGTTTTTAAAACTAGTTTAAGAACCGAACTGTTTTCAAACCTAACCGAACCGTTTTCAAACGGAACCAAATTGATTTTTATAACTCTATTTTTTTATTTTTTTATTTTTTTATTTTTTTTCTTTTCAAAAGAGGGTCGACCCGAACCGGTTCTGAACCAGTTTCGAACTAAATTGGTTCTAAACCGAACTGTTTCCCACCGAACTGAACTACTTTCGAACCGAACCAGTTTTGAACCGAACCGAACCACTTCCGAACCTAACCATTTAAACCAATTCGGTTCGGTTTATCACAAAAACTTGTTTGGTTCTTCATAAAAACCAATTCAGTTCGACCCATTCACATCCCTACTAATGAGCACTTTAAATTTCAATGAATATGAAATTCAACATGGAAAAGTTTCACCAAAGGAAAATATAAAATATAAAATCAATTGACAATAATTGGTAAAAAGCAGCGGAAAACGCACCTGCACCTGCAGCTTGGAGTTCCGTCTCACTAGCGGCGGCGACCTCAGAGAGAAAACCGACATGGGAGACGCCGGATCCTCACCGGCGGAGAAATCATCAGAAACAAAAGACGAGACGACACTCTTGGAGAACTCATCATCCATAATCTCCATCTCCTCTTCCACAACATCCCACATAACCCAATCCTGCGTGGCAGCACTAACGGGATCATCGTGCGTCACCGAGTTCCTCCACGGTGGCGTTCCTCCGTTCCCTCTCAGGTACTTCCCGCACCAGCTTCTCAGCTTCACCTGAAACCCGTCGCGTATCGGTTCCCACTCGTACTTCCAATCCAAACCCGTTTCGAAGTCTGTTTGGAGCACCAACTTTCCGGTCACGCCCAGCATAAACGGTGTCTCCGTCGCCGTTAGGTACCTCCCGTGGCAGCTCTTCAGCCGCACGCGGTGGTTGTTGTTCTCTCCTTCCACTACCTCCACCGTCCATTTCGCTCTCTTACCGGACCCCTTTCTGCTCTGACTGACCCTTAATCGGTCGTCGTCGGCGACGAGGTACTTATCGAGGTGGCTCCGGAGCTTGACGGCCTTGGCTTTGGTGAAAAACTCCATTACGGGTTGATGCTGATTATTGAAGCGGGAAACTATGGCTGTAAAGGCGTGTCTATATATATATATATATATATATATATGGGTAAAGTGTTTGTCATTTTTTTTTTGATAATAAGTGTTTGTCATTTTAAATGACAGAAAGTTATGTATAGACACCGAAAATTTAAATTTTAAATTAAAAAAAATCACTCACTTTCTCTCATTTTCGTTTTTCTGTGTCTATCTCTCTCCTAAAATGACATAACTTATGTCATTTAAAATGACAAACACCAAACCCTATATATATATATATATTTAATAATTTATAATTTTAAATATTTTCCTGGTGGTGACCTTAGTGAGAATATTTTTTTTATTTATAATATTGGAAATATTAAAGTGTATTGGGGTTGAACTTGAACCTACGTGGAAAATGTGGTGTAGTTTCTTGGTTTTTCGATACAGCCATACAGGGAAAGTGTTCCTTTGGATAACGTAGACGGACGTTTGTGTTAAAGAAAAATCAATACTATCAGAAATGATATCTATACATATTTTAACATTTTTTATTCATTATTTTTCAAATTAAAAAATATAAATATTATGATATGCAAATATCATTATCCTAACTAGATTTTACTTGTTAAAAAAAATTAAGAGTAACGATGTCGTTTATATTTTTTCGTCACAATAAAAAGGTTAACCATGTTCGGCCTTAACTTGTTTGTTAGTGTTATATGAATTTATAATGGATATGAGTCGAAATTACGACAATTGAAAAGATTAGAACGAAACCCTTCTCTATGGTTGACTGAGAACGTTCCAGAGGTAACGAATGTTTTTGAGACTAATGATTTATATTATTATTGTTGCGTGTTGAAAATGAAAGGGAAAAACGAAGATTATTCAGGGAAGGTGACGGAGGATTCGGAATGGTGCCATCTGATTATTTATTTAATTATTGGGAACAGGGTATCTTTTATCTTTTATTTAGGACAGTGTAATTTGTTACAATTCTCAAAATGGGCTCAATTAGATCGGGGTCAAAATTTGTTCATTCGGCGCCTTCGCTTGATTCTTTTTTTTTTGGTAAGCACGCTTGATTCCTTAATGAATAAGAAAACAGTGGCTCAAGTTCAACTCATTTGAGTTTTATATATATATATATATATATATATATATATATATATATATATATATATATATACAACTCATTTGAGTTATTTGCATTGATTGATGGTTTATTAATTACTTTATTTTATGGGAAAGCTCAAAAAGATTTTTCAAAAGTGTAAATTTTATTTATTTATTTAATATATGTTAGCTTTTTCATATTTATTTAAATACGTAATTTGTACTGCATGCCGTATTAAAATTCAATGAAATAATTAATGAGGTAAATTATAACTCAATTAAAATTTGATGAAATACATGGTTATAATTTTATTAAAATTAAAAAGGTATTATGAAAATGTCTCAATTTTCACATTAGAATAAAATGCCACAAATGTTTTAAAAATATATAAGCTACATATAATGCAAACGTAAAAAGATTACTTATCCTATTGTAGTAACTGTACGCAGTGTTTTAAAATCTCATCCCACTCTCTGGGTTGACCCGGGTCAACCCTGACTCCTCCCCTCTGAGGGTTGGAGTTACAAGTTGGGCCCTATATGCACATCGATCCCTCCAACTCCTAAAACTCGGGCAGGTTTCAGTGACTCCAGGATCAAATGGTTGTGTATTAAAAACAACGTCGTTTTATTAAAAAAAATTAAAATAAAAATGCTTGCAAACCTAAATCTAATTGTTTTCTTCTCTCCCAGCGACCTAGACTTGTGGTATCTTGATACTTTGGTATCATTAGAATATGAATTTTGTACTTAGGTATCTTGATACTTTAATTAGGTTGTGTATTATTGACTTGTGGTTGTAATTGGTGAATTATGTTAAATATATTTTGAATCTTTAATGATTGGTGATTTGTTTGTTAATATTTTCATATAGGATATATATATTTATATTTTTTTAATATATAAAACCGGGTCAGCGTAGTGACCCCGTAATCTCCCAGTTGAACCATTGACCCCGTAACCCCTGACCTCGGCCGGGTCGATGGCCGGGCCAGATTTTTAAACACTGACAGTACGCAGTGGCAGACCTAGAGAATTTTTTTATGTCTGCATATTTAGGGGTGATACCGAAATTTTTTTTTAAAGAAAATTTCAAATGTATTAAAAAACAAAAGAATATAAACAAGAAAAAAACAAAAAAAACTTCAACTCAGCGTAAAAAAAATGGTAATTAAGAGTCAACTAAGTTGTTACAATAGAACAATTACAAAAGTATTCTTCGATTCTTCATTCCTTAAAAATATTGCATTATATCTTCATCATCAATGTTATCAATTTTATATGTTAGCTATTTCTTAGGTATAATCGGTTTCGTTTGCTGGTTAGGGTTATATAGAAAAATAAATTTTATTTATGATGATATATTGAATATTGCAATTATTTTTCATGTTAATGTTAACATTTAATGTCGAATCCAAATAAATTTAAAATTAAATAAATGAAAAGGAAATAATCAATTAGAAAAAATTTAGATATAGACAAAGAAATAAATAAATAAAATTAAAAAAGATGAATAGCAAAATATTTTTAAAAAATTTCTTATTCAAAAACGAAAGTCTATGTGAAAATGGAATAATATTTGATTAAAAAAAACAAAATCTCCTTTTTTATTTCGCAAAAAAGAAACCACCTCCCCCATCTATAAACAAAAAACCCCTGTGCAAAAAAAATAAATTCTCACAAATTTATGTCCGCAAGTGCAGATAATTACACACATATCGGTCCGCCCCTGACTAACTGTACCTGAATGGCTCACCTAATCAAATTTTTTTGCAAAATATAATAAGAATAGTTGAGGCCAAAGGAAAACCATTCTAATAAAAAAAATAAAAAATAATTATAGGTTACTGGTTCGAGTAATTGTAGCAAGTGAGAATTTAAATAATATGTCACAAGATTAAATTCAAGTAACCATTTTTTTATGTATAAAATGAATTATGACACTGTTTATACATTTGAATGGTACTGTTAAATTTAAGTGAAAAAAATACTATTACCAAATCTATACCCATTTGAATCATTCTATGCGCTTTTAAACTTTAATAATAATCACATGAAATTAATTCTCGAGGATCTTGTAAAATAAGCAATATATACGAATGAAATGAAATGGTTCTCTATGATATAAAAGAATCCAACTAAATTTCATAGAAAAAGTGTGTATCATTTTAAAGGATGTAAAATTATGTTATTTTAAGTCAGAGAAAGATATAAATAAAGGAAAAGAGAGAGTTGACAAAAAAATATAAAGGTGTGGATCACACCTTTTTATGAGAGTAAAATGATATAAGTTATGTCATTTAAAAGGACAAATATTTTTCTCAAATTTCATATATAACCTAAAGTAGAATTGGCATAATAGCTTCCTTTATATTAATTCTCGAGGACCTTGACCAAATTATATAACAAAGTGTCCCTTGTGTTTGAAATATCAACACCAAATAACGTCTAGAAGAAGATAAGGCAGCTGGACTTAAGTTCAAAGGATATTGTTGTGATATTTATGTAATGACCTCATAACTACTGAAATTTTCATTGCTATCCTTTAAGACAAATATTGCATCAGAAGCCCCCCTTTGGGGTTTTTGCTTGTTTGTGGGCATTTCAGGGGCCCATGTGAGAAAAGGGAGACCACAAGAAATTTTTTGGCAAGGTCTTCCAAACAATTTGCAGAATTTCAGGGTAAATCTTATAAAATTAAAAAATTTCAGTCTTTCAAAGCAAAATCAACGGCTCAAAGTCAAGGGCATTTGATGCATCCTAACTGCCAACTGCCAAGGATAATGGAAGTCGTCGCTGAAACCGGGGACAACGGTCGCTGTTCAACTTGCATTTTCTTCCACGTAACAAAAAAAATTGAACATGGGCAAAGACGCAAAGTGTGAACACAGAATACAACATCAGAAGGTCCATGTGAAAAGGAAGAAAAAAATCAAAAAGGAAATTTCTTTCTCCCTTCGGTCTTTGCGCACTTGGCTTCTTCAATAGAATGAACTCATGTAGTATGGTAATCGACAAGGACAACATATTTAATAGTGTACCCACGGCCTTAACTTTTGTCTTATATAAAAGGAGTTTTTATTTTTTATTTTTTATTTTTTTATTTATGGTATAGATCATTAGTACATACATTGGTGTAATCTTCGGAGTTCGGACGACCCATTTCATTTGTAAAAGTAATTACCTGTGATTCACCCCAAATAAAAAATTATCAATTGTTGCATAATACACACCAAACAAAAGTAAAAGATACATAGACGATTTGTGGGAATTGCACAACTTTTGTACGATAACAAACAACTGTCTGTTAATTAAATCGAATTTGAACAAAAGCCATTCTCGGCTTGTAATGCAAGTTTTTTCTTCTTCTTTTTTACTTTGGTATTAGCAGTAAAAAGTTTATCAATTTCAACAACTATATTTTTTTCAAAATATTAGTTCAAGTAAGGCTTTTCATTCCCGTAACCTCTCAACAAATTTGAATTTAATACATTGAAATGAATAACTAGTTTTCTTTACCATCTATGAGTATCTGAGTAGTTTAAGTAGGGGTGTAAATGAGCTAGGCTGGTCTACAGGAGCCTACGGTTTAGTCTATATTAGGTCAAACTTGACATATTATAAATAGTAAAATAGAATAGGTCTAGGCTTTTAAAAAAATCTATTTAGAAAATAGGCCATAGGCTTTTTGTATATGTTGGGCCTATAAGTCTACAAGCCGGTCTATATCATATTATTTATTTAAAATATAATAAGTAAAATTATTATTTTAATAATTTTGAATAATAAAATAATATTATTTTAGTTATTCTTTTAATTGTTAAATGTTTAATGAGCTTAAACAGGCTAACAGACTTAGGCCAAGACTTTTATTTTTTAAATACAAGTCAGGCTAGACTTGTAATTTGGGGTCTACACAGGTTAATAGGTCAGGTCATACCCGATGTTTTTACATAGGCTTGACATATTTAAGCCCAAAGCCTAGCCTAACGTAAACTGTTTACACCCTTAGTTTAATAGAGACAGTTATACGACTAA